GTTTTCAAAGTGAATCTCATCTAGGCATTGTCCTCGAGAAGCTTATCTTCTTGTAGGGAAGAGATGTTTTTTGAAAAACTATTGTTATTATCAGTCAATGGCATACGAACAGTACTGGTAATTTGGGACAGTGATTCATTTTGAATTAGCTAGTTCAACAAGAGCATGTTAAATATAAGTGTTTAATACTGCCCTAAAGTACAGTTATTCTCTGCTGCTTGCTCCTCTGATGAAATCTCTTGATCATACAGGAGTTACTGCTTGCTGAAGCCCAGTTATGGCAGCTTTGAAGGAAATTCATCTATTCTGTTGCCTCTCTGTCATGTAGGCGTTGGGGATTCTATGATCATGTAAATTAGCCAGGGAGATTACTCCTGCAGACTTTTACCTTTCCCAGTTACAAGTATCTCTTGTTTGGTCACTTCTTACTGTATTTTTGAAAATAACAAGTGTTTTTCTGTTATCCCCTTCAAGAGATCAGTTTTTATATTAACTAATGTCTCTTTGGGAAAGTGACTGAAAAAGATGTAAAACACTAAAAAATTTTGTTTAGAAACCTGTTATAAATTAAGTGTTTAAGACAACTTTTTATTCAGACTATATAGCTAATTCTAAATTCAAATCTGTCTGGGTCTCTCATCAGAAACAGGGGTGGGATCTGACAGTACTCCAGTTCAAATTTTATTCAGGATAGAGCCCAAGTATGCATTTTCCTTCAGAATTTTTATCTCTTTAATTCGTTTTTTAGTTGGAGCCAGAACAGTAAATTTTCCTCATTTCTTCCTCAAAATATGACATAGATTCATGTTGTAATTTAATTTTAGTGTTTCTTGGTGCATGTGATAATTAGAGTAACATACAATGAGATGTGCAAATTGGATGGTGAGTTGAATAAATATAACAGGTGATCAGAGTGTCTCTTCTTAATGTCACTTTATTAAGGCCTGATATACTGATATACTCTTGAGTTTCCTTTTTTCCCTCATTTCTTTTTCCTTCCGCTCTATCCCTTTCCTCTGCTGAGGCTGTTACCTCCTAAAGTGTTTGCCATGAGTAGAGGATCAGGATAATGATTTTAGGGGAGGTGAACTAATGACAGATTTTTGCTTTTCATTTTATAGGGATATTCTTTATAATAGGAATATACATGTCATAACTTTAGATTATTTTTTATGTTAATCCTTTTAAGGAAGGGGTGTTTTACTTACTTTAACTAGCTTAACAAGATGGAAATGATTGATTCAAATACTATGGCCTGTGGGAGTCTTAAATGCAGTTTTAAATGTAGTGAAGTATCATGTATACAGTGGTCTGTTTTTCACTCATCTTACTTTGCCTTGGATCTGGAAGGACACAGAAATACCACTGAACCTTAAACTTCATGATATAAGGGGTGGGGTGAAATCTCTTTGTATGTAAAACCCAGGTACATGTCCTTGTCTGGAAATTGAACCTGAGACCCTTGGGTGAGACTGATGCTCTAACCACTGTGCCAAAGGCCAGAGCTCAAGGTTGTTGTTGTTTTTTTAACTTATGTTTATTGTTGAAAGTATTACAGATGTCCTCTTCTTATCCCCGTTTACCCCTCCTCCCCACCCCCCCAGGCCTTCCCCACATGGTTGTCCATGCCCCTGGGTTATGCACATATGCATAGAAGTTCTTCCGTTAATCTCTCCCCACCCTGCCTTCCATCTTCCCTCTGAGATTCCTCAGTCTGTTCCATGCTTCTTTGTCTCTGGTTAAGGTATTATTTTTATCAGCATTCATATTTTGAAAGCTTTTTAAACTATGCCTGTGCTGGATGCGTTTCTAGAGATTTTTAAAGGCATTTATTAACCTGAACAAAACTCACTCAACAAAAAGAATAGGGTGTAGGAAGGGAATCTTTAGAGCAAGAATACTCATGGAGAAATTGCCTTAAAGCTTTTGTACTTTATTGGGTCACATAAAGTGTGGCATTGATGTTTCATAACTGGGTGTGAGTTCTGGCTTAGATTCTGGTTCTGGTCTACCTTCTCGCTGTAAAGCCACGTTCAGTAAAAGCCTGCATACTATTTTAAATAAGTTACTTAGTGGAGCACCTCTGTTTTGAACTTTCGCCTTTACTTTCTGATATCTGCTTACTCCCTTAAAGTCACCCTGGGACAGTTTCATGTCCTGATCGAATGTTTAAGCCGTCACCAGAACATTTCCCCCGGTGGTCATATACCGGCTGTACTGTTTTCAGATGTGTTACATAACTAGCTACATAATGGTTACCTTGATGAAGTGCCATATAAATGCTTACCATGATTACTATTGTTGGTACAATATTGTTGGTGGTGGTGATGTTACCTCTTTTTTGTTTTCCATACCAATATTTTTATCCTATAGAAATGCCTCCACATCTCTAAACAATCTTAAAGTTCTGTACTCAATTGGATTCTCGCTTTGGAATCCAATCTACCCCAAGCTTCACTCCCAGCCAGCTGACTTGCATTTCCAGAGTCTTGATAGGCATTAGTGGATCCTCAGATTTAGTGTGTCCCCAGTGAATTTCTTACCTTCTATTTCAGTTCTCAGCCAGCTTCTCCTGACAGCTAATGGCTGCCTGTTTTCTTAGGCTAGGGAACAGCAAACTCTGGCCTTTCGGCCAAATGTGACCTGCTGCCTGTTTTTGAAATGAAGTCTTATTGGAACACAGACACACCCATTTGTTTAAGTATTGTGTGTGGCTGCTTTTGCTCTAAGATGGCAGAGCTAAGGAGATGCCACAGAGACCTATGACCAGCCAAGCCTGAAGTATTTGCTATCTGGCCCTTTATAGAAAATGTTTGCTGATCCATGCCTTAGACTCAAAACCGTGACATCACCTTTGATTCTTTCTTGGGGTTTCCCAAGTAAATTTTAGCAAGAGAACTCATCTCCTTTCCTGTAACCATCCCCCCTCTGCCTTCCCCTCCTTTCTCCTCTCCTTCCACCTCCTCCTCCCA